AAAAAAAAAAAAAAAAAAAAACAACAACAAAATCCTTTGTCCTCTCATAACATGAGAAATGCAAGTGAGAACAGATTGTCATTTTTATGTGGAGTTAAATAGGTAAAATTAACATTTTTAAACAATCAGATTTTAAATTATTTTCTTGAAGTAAGGAAACTAACCAATAACTTCTCATTTTTCTTAGCTTAATGCAGATACTGAAAGAGAAGAAGGAGAAGAGTTTGAAGACAACATGGATGTTTTTGATGACAGCAGCTCCAGCCCTTCTGGCACCTTAAGAAATTATCCACTCACCTGCAAAGTTGTTTATTCCTACAAGGTTTGTACTTTTCCAAAATCCTGCTGTTATTAAATTGTGACAACTCTGAGGATACATGTGAATGTATCTACTCAGCCCTTCATACAGCATAAAATTTGGTTAGCATAAAATTTGTGTTGAATTAATAATGTCAAAGAGAACAGAATGCTGAAGAGTTTTAGGTTTTGCTTCAGAATTCCTGGGTTAAAATTTTGTCTCTGCCACTTATGAGCTATATGATCTTCCAGTCCCTTAGTCTCTGTGAGCCTCAGTTTCCTTATCTATACCATAGGAATACTATTGTAGGGGTCATGTGAAGATTAAATGATATAATACTTTCATAGCAAAGCATTTAGCGTGGTGCCTGGAAGCTAGAAAATTTTCAGTAAATAGAACTCTTCCCATTATTATCAATTACCTACTTGGCATAGGACCCTCCATTAGGATGACCCTCAAAATTGAAATCAAAGGAAAGTTATTTTACAAAGCACTTTTTAAAGTGTGCCTTTCTTTATCCCAATATAACCAACTCTAGCTATTCATGTTAAGCAGGGACCTGGGTAGACAGATGCGAGAATTTCCAAGTTGATTTGGTATAATAGTAGCTAATCTCTCCCACCCATACCCTGCTTTCCCACTAATTTTTTACTCAGGGCCAAGTAAATTATGTTTCAATTCCTCTGTTCTTTCTTTCCCTCACGCCTCTCATCCAGCCCATCAGCCAGTGCTACTGAGTCCATCTCTAAAACATACCCTTTATCACGTCACTGTATCTACTGCCACCATCTTGGTCTAAGTCATTGCTTTAATTAATATAAAAGGAAAAAAGTCCTCCTAATTGTTCTCCCTCTTTCATACTTGCCTTTGAACAGTCCATTTTCTACTCTGAAGCTGGAATTATTGTTTATACAAAAAAGAAACAATTTTAATCCTCTTCCTTAAAATCCCTTTTTAAGTTTTCCATTACATGTAGGAAAAAAAACCCAAAGTCTTCCCTAGGGTCTGTTAATATCCAGGCAGATCTGGCCCCTGCCATTCTCCTACCTTCACAGCTTCCTGTCAAACCATTCCCCCACCCCACCAATTCACTGCACAGTAGCCATTCTAGCTACCCTTCAGGCTTCAGAAACACCAGGCTCCTTCCTGAATTCATGTCTTTTACTCACTAGTCCCTCTACCTAGAACTCCCTTTTCCCAAATCTCAGTTGGCTATCCTGTCCTCCTTTCTGAAACTCAACTCAAATAGTGTCTCCTAAGGTCACCCTAACCACATAAATATATAACTCTTCAGTCACTACTCCCTATCCCTTGCCTCTTTTATTTATTATATAGTACTTTTTACTAACCAAATTTAATCTTGTTTTCATATTTCTTTGTCTGACTTCCCACTAAGGCAGAAATTTTGTCTGTCTGTATATACCTTGTCTATGTGTCTTTACACCTAGAACCATGCCCAGTGCATAGGAGATCATCAATAAACATATGTGGGGTGAATAAAGGAATGATGGAAGGAAGAAATGAATAAACAAACCTTTGTCTGGCCCTCATTCAGATGGAGACATCAATGAGAAGGGATAATGCCAAGGGATAACAACAGAGGGAAGGTCTGGAGAGAATCTTCAACTGTCGTACACTGGACAGTCTCATTCCCTCCACCACCATCCTTAGGTAGCCAAAAGGTGGCAGTATTTACTTCTCAGTATCAGTGATTCCCAAACTGAGTTTAATATCATCCTTTTATTCATATACTTTCTGTTTTCTGTAAGAGTTAGGATTTTTCCCCCTAATTTCCAGTGTAAACTGTTTTGATAATCTTTAGAAAATTTGAAATCATCTTCTAAGATACTTGGTCATTATATTGGGTATTATTAAACTGGGGTTGGGAATATTTTCCCATGTCACCTTTTATTCTTATATTTACTTGAAACTTCCAGAACTAGGCTTGTCGCCTGTAGCTCAGTAGTTAGGGCGCCACTCACATACACTGGGGCTGGTGGGTTTGAATGGGCCAGACCTACTAAACAACAATGACAACTATAACAAAAATATAGCCAGGCATTGATTGTAGCAGACGCCTGTAGTCCCAGTTACTTGGGAGGCTGAGGCAAGAGAATCACTTAAGCTCAAGAGTTTGAGGTTGCTGTGAACTGTGACACCATGGCACTCTGCAAGGGTGACATAGTGAGACTCTGTCTCAAAAAAAATAAAGAAAAAAGAAACTTCCAGAACTAAAATTGAAGGTCCCTAAATATAGCTCACATTCATCCATATTCCCTCTGTTGACATATCCCAAGCACATAAACCAAACTATAAACATCTATTTAGTCAACCTTTGAATAAACATTTACTGAGTGCCCAATATGTAATAATTTTGGGGGGTGTAAGAATGAATATGATCTTATCCCTGCCTTCTGGGAATGGATAATCTGGAGAGGGGGATAAATATTAAATGGGAAAAAGATACCATATCTGAAAGATTATAGTAATGCCACTAATTCTACGTGTGATAGTTGGGGGAAATTTTATAGATGAGGTGGCATTTGAATTAGGTCAGAATAAGACCTTTCTAGACATAGTGAGACAGTAGAGTAAGGAGCCTTCTAAGCAAAAAGTATATAGCATATATACTTTTTGAGTGTGATGAGAGTATAGGGTATTCTAGAAAGGTTAAATTCAATGGTGTGGGAACATCCAGTGAGGGAATATAGCAGTTAGATGTAAAGGTGTTTGTTTTCAGAGAGTAAAGGGTCTTTGTAATCCTTGAGTAATAATAACTCATTTATTTATAATCTCTTCAATAATCCAATAAGGAAGATATTAGCAACCCCCCATTCATTTAACAAATATTACTTGAATATATTCTACATATCAGTGCTGTGCTCTTTTCTGGCTCTGGGATAGATATAGCATTATCAGACAAAATCTCTGCCCCATGGAGCTTACTTCAGTAGGAAAATAAAACTAAGGCTCAGGTTCAGTGCCTATAGCTCAAGCAGCTAAGGCACTGGCCACATACACCAGAGCTGCGGGTTCAAATCCAGCCCAAGCCTGCCAAACAACAATGATAGCTGCAACCAAAAAATGGCTGGCGTTGTGGCAAGTGCCTGTAGTCCCAGCTACTCAGGAGGCTAAGGCAAGAGAATCGCTTGAGCCCAGGAATTAGAGGTTGCTGAGAGCTGTGATGCCATGACAGCTTGAGGCTCTGTCTCAGAAAAAAAAAACTAAGGCTCAAAGACATCTTAAGGTTGCTTGCCCACAGAAAGAGCCTAAAGCTGGACTTAAACCCACAGTAATCTAAATCCATTCATCAGATAGGAAAAAGGGAGCAGAGCATGCTGGACAGAAAGAATAGCTGGTAAAAACAGAGGCAAGGAAGAATATGGTGTGTTTAGAGAACAGGGAATAGTGTTCTGAGTCCAAAGCATCAAGCGGCACATGGGGACCAAACTCTGTAGGATCTTTTGTTTTTTTTGCAGTTTGGCAGGGCTGGGTTTGAACCTGCCACCCTCGGTATATGGGTCTGATACCCTACTCACTGAGCCACAGGTGCCACCCACTCTGTAAGGTCTTTATGACTGTGCAAAGGACTTGACCTTTTTAAGTGGAAGAATTGGACACCACTGCCTGAGGACTGTATGATAAGCTACTGTCTGCTTATGTTGAACAACTGGTGCTACAATGTTGGACAACCTGTTTGGACCCTGTGACTATTTTTTGATATGGGGTCTTGCTATGTTACCAGGCTGGTTGCAAACTCCTGGGTTCAAGCAATATTCTTGCCACAGCTTCCTGAGTAGCTGGGATTGCAGGCATGTTCCACCATGCTTGCCTTCCATGACTTTTTTTTTTTTTGAGACAGAGTCTCACTTTATCACCCTCAGTAGAGTGCTGTGGCATCACAGCTTACAGCAACCTCAAACTCCTGGGCTTAGGAGATTTCTCTTGCCTCAGCCTCCCAAGTAACTGTGACTACGGGCACCCACCACAACGCCCAACTATTTTTTGTTGCAGTTTGGCTGGGGCAGGGTTTGAACCCTCCACCCTCGGTATATGGGGCCAGCGCCCTACCCACTGAACCACAGGCACTGCCTTCCATGGCTTTTTTTTTTTTTTTACAAGGGAAGCAGTATATTTAAAGGTGCTTTATCCATCCTGCTTTGCTCTCATATACATTAATGTCTGGTTATGTTGGTACTTTTTAAGTCTTACTGTGGAATTAGGAAAACATCTTTATTACAAAGGTACCTTTTGCTGATATATTCAAGGCATAGTGTGGTTTCAGAGTAGTAAATAAATCCATTGGAAAAGGGACCAAGGGGCAGCACCTGTGGCTCAAGGAGTAGGCTGCCACCCCCATATACTGGAGGAGGCAGGTTCAAACCTGGCCCTGGCCAAAAACTGCAACAACAACAAAAAAAAAAAAAAAAAAAAAGGAAAAGGACCAAGAATAAATGTGCAAGTTTGTTTTCCTCATATTTTGAGATATGAAGTAATTTTACTTAAAAACTAGGCCTAGAATGTTCTGTGATTTGTCAGCCATTTCATACTATTTTTCTGTCTCCATGAACTGTGGCAACATCTAGAATCTGTGTTTTGATGAAATGTTTCAATGTTGATGAAATGGGAAACGGATCCTGTAAAACGACCCGCGCTTTCTTTTTTACTTAACTTGGAAATATTTTACACTTTGAGATTGTGAGATTTGAAAAACTGTATGTTCTTAGGTGATAGTTTTAACTGATCTTGGGACTTGGGGAAAGCTTTTAAGATTATTTATTAGAAAGCCAGAAGAAGCCTCCAAGCTCCTGCCTGTTACATGTGACAGGCAGCAAGGCTCTTTAGAAAGGAAAGCCAAATAGACTTTATAACCGCTCTGCAGGGCCCCTGAGAGTTTCTTCCCAAGTTTTGCAATCTCAAGGGCAATATCAGCAGGGCTGATGCTGGTGAGTTCCTGCTGTCAGGAATAATAAAACCATCACAGTTAGCAGCTTATGCAGAAAAATCTAAGTGGATCAGCCTAGTCTTTGCAGTTAAGTTGGAGCATAATAAATCCAAAACTTGCCTGATCGCAATCATTTCCTTTCCCACAATTTCCTTCTTTTGGCCACTGTCTTACAGTGATTCCAGATCAACTCTAGGCACTGCTCAAACTCTCATCTAATTCATGTACATAGTTCTTTGCATTTTCACAGCATGCATCTCCATTGTGGCCTTCTGGGAGCAGCTCTAATTCTGTGCCTTCTCCTTTGCCTGTTCCCAAGTCATCATGGTTCTGTGCTTATTCATCCCACATTGACACTTCCCCATCCCCCAGGGAATGGCAAGACTGTCATTTTGAAGAAATGGAGGCATCAAGTTGAATAAATTACAAATAGATACATAAGCTGGAGGTGGAACCCAAGTCCTCTACTTCCACCATGGTGCTCTGTCCATTGAACCTGATTGCCTCTTGATGATTCCAGTTTCTCTAGTTTTTGTTGTGATCATTTCATTTATTTTTTGGAACTAAAACTTCACCTCATTATGATAGTTTTACAGCATTTAAATTTTTGTGTTCAGTACTTTTCTCAAAATCATTTCAATATTTTGATCCCCTGTTTTTGTTATGATCAGTTCACATCTGCTCTTTATCTAACCTTTTTAATTTTGTCCATGACCATCCTACATTGCAGGCTTCTCAACCAGATGAGTTGACCATTGAGGAACATGAGGTGTTAGAAGTGATTGAAGATGGAGATATGGAAGACTGGGTAAAGGTATATTCCTTTGCTCATATCGCCCCCTTCTTGTGACATTTTTTAGGAGTTTGTTTGGTTCTTATTAAGCCCTGTCCAAATTGTGTGTGCAAACCTGTTTTGTCACATGTGTTTTACCCAGGCTCGAAATAAAGTTGGCCAAGTGGGTTATGTGCCAGAAAAGTACCTACAGTTTCCCACCTCGAACAGCCTACTGAGCATGCTGCAGTCCTTAGCTGCTTTGGACAGTCGGTCACACACATCCAGCAATTCCACGGAAGCAGAACTCGTCTCAGGCAGCCTCAACGGAGATGCCAGTGGTAAAGACTGAAACAAGGCACTCTTTATTTGGTCACATTTGACCTAAACCGTATTGCCCTGGAGTACTCCTTCAGTAGATTAAAAAGCACAACTTTATTCCTATTCTGTAAAATATTTTCCCTTATCTGGTCACATTTGTCTGATACAGAAGAACCCTAACGTTGATCTTCAGTGTGTAAAAATATTATAATTTTACTCTTCTGTATAATGTTCTTTTAGTTGTCATGTGAGCAAAAATGTGGTTTCAGAAGCAACCTAGCTGTCAATGTTCTTACTAGGTTTGTCTTTTTCTTGTTCCCTAGTCTGTTTTGTGAAAGCACTTTATGATTATGAGGGCCAGACGGATGATGAGTTATCTTTTCCTGAGGGAGCAATCATCCGTATCTTGAACAAAGAAAACCAAGACGATGATGGCTTCTGGGAAGGGGAATTCAATGGACGGATTGGAGTTTTCCCATCGGTGCTAGTAGAAGAACTTTCAGCCTCAGAAAATGGTGACACTCCATGGATGAGAGAGATTCAGGTACATGAGAGGGGAGGCAAACGAATTAAAAGATATTTTAAAGAAAATTACTTCCAAAGGGTCTGTTAATCCTGATAAAAGTTGGCTGTAGTCTCTGCCTCACCCTCAACATCCTACCCCTCAGTGTATCTGCAAAACTGAGTTGAAAAACCAGAGACCTGTCAATCAGGCACTTACATAATGTGGTCATATTACACTTCCCTTCTCCCACATTCTGTTCTCTCAATCAGTTTAATCAAAATGCTAAACTGTACTCATCATACCAAAGATTGATTTGGTGGAGAGAAAGAAACAAGTCAGAGAAGGGAATGTATTGTCTCTGTGGTTAGTTTACATAGTAAAACTCTTAGCTGGCTATTTTTCTCCCTCACTATCAGACCCTCCCTGCCTAACTCAGATCCTGCCAGTCTATTGCAGAGAATTAACCAGCCTGCTAGATCCCTCATTCAACTTACAAATGGCTCTAGCCTTAGCTTATCATAGGTAAACTTACCTTTACAGGAGACCCCCTAATTCAGTCACAGTTTAGCTTGTCCTTTCTGAGTTTTTATCACAGCAGGCCTGGCAGATAGAGGAATAAGGAATATGATTGCCAATTTTGTTTGCGTGGTGACCGAGACACTTAGCCTGACATGTACAAAGCCTGGGGAAATCAGAAACTCATCCAAATTAACTGGGCATTGTGGCGGGCACCTGTAGTCCAACTTCTTGGGAGGCTGAGGCAAGAGAATCACTTAAGCCCAAGAGTTTGAGTTTGCTGTGAGCTGTGATGCTATAGCACTTTACCCAGGGGTGACAGCTTGAGACTGTCTCAAAAAAAAAAAAAAAGAAAGAAAAGAAAAGAAGAAACTCAGCCAATTATTTATCTTTACCCCCCCACACACACAAAAAATATTACTTGGGCTCGGCGCCTGTGGCTCAAGTGGCTGAGACACCAGCCACATACACCTAAGGTGGTGGGTTCGAATCCAGCCCGGACCCACCAAAACAAAAATGACAGCTGCAACCAAAAAATAGCCGGGCGCTGTGGCAGGCGCCTGTGGTCCCCGCTACTTGGGAGGCTGAGGCAGGAGACTCGCTTGAGGCCAGGAGTTGGAGGTTGCTGTGAGCTATGATACCACAGCACTCTACCCAGGGAAATAGCTTG